GCACTCTGAGTAAATACTTTGCTTTTAGTTTTCTAATGGAAGAAGGATCTAGAAAACAAACATTCAGTTATTATACTAGTCACTGATTTAGTATGTTGAATATCTATTCAAAGTTCATATGCATTGACCAAAAAAGAAGTAGCTCCTTTGCTGTGGTTTCTGTTCTTCAGGCCCAAGACAGGACATGCATTTTTAGTGTGTGTAAATATTTACAAATGCGTATCTGTGTGGACAGGCAGACTTTGATTTTCATCTTTCCATCAGCATTTGTGAAAGGACTGTTTTGAAGACTTGATTTTTAAAAATAATTAAGTGAGGTAGCATCCACAATTAATATGTCCTCAGGGTTCCTCCTGGAAGGTGTTAACCTGGTCACTTGTCTGAGGCTGTAAGAAGCTTGAAGCAGATCGTTACTGTAATCCCAAAGCAGAAACTGAACAGTGTATGTTCAGATGTGTAATCTGTGAGTTGTCTGTCAAAAAAAAAGTCAGTGATTCAGCAGTAATGTGAGTTGTGTCTGTCCTGCCAACCAGCAGGTTCTGTCTGTGCTGGTAGCCTTCCCCCATCTGCATCTCATCGTCCGATCCCTCTGCTCAGTGTGTCCTCCTTCCTCTACCCCTGATTTTTTGCATGTTATGAAGGATTATATTTCAATGCCAGTATTTTTTTTTAAAGGGTATGGGTTATCTGTGGTGCAGGCTGTACATGCAAAGATAGATAGGATTGCTGTAGCACAGTAGATGGTCCAAGCCAGGCTGGCTGTGAACGTGCTCTCCTTATGGCTTATCTTGTGGTATTTTCAGCTGTGCATCAAAGGTTTATCAGTCACAGGGGGCAGCAATAGAGCTCGGGTTATTACAGGGGAGTTTCACATGAGGGAATTTTTGCACCAGGTGTGTGATTTTCCTGCAGGAGGGGAGGCCTTGAGGTGCTCTTGGCCGTACTGGGGAGCAGATGCTTGAGAAGCACAAAGCACCCATGTTTGCTCCCTTGTTCTATTTTTCCCCAATTTAGAAGCATCAGTTCGACAATGGATAACTTCATCCACAGTTAATTAGGGTTTATACCAGTGTACAGGAGAACAGATCCTGGCCTGGCCCAATCTGCATCCTTTCTCCCCTTGCTTTAAGAACAGGCTCTAGCTTTTCTGCTGGACTCAGCCTAGTAGCACACTGTAAACAGCAGGCTTAACTGCTGCTTTTTAGTTATCTGTATCAAGTTCATCAGATGAAGCCAGAACTTCCTGGAGCCAGCCAAAGCTTCCTGGAGGGGGTACTCTCACAGGCAGATGTGGCTCCTGGAAGGCAGATGTTTGGCTCTGGGAGGCAGACATATGCCTCAGACTTGGATCACTCCTTTTGGACTGTGTGGTTGTAAGAACATTTTCTTGCAATATACTTCCTTGGGGGAATCAGATGGACTTAGATCTCAGATACCATCCCCACTAAGTGATACAGTAAAAATAACCTATTATTCTCTGTTTCTGACCTGGGCGGTGACAACATATTGTTTCAGCATCTCTGTCAGACTATTTCCCTTAAGAGCCATTTTAACCTCACCCAGTGGGACATAACTAAAGGAAATGAAACTCCAACCCCATTAAGGAAAAAGACAATGCCTTTCACTAAACAAACTTGATTTTCTTGGCTTTTCTTCGCCAAGGAGAATCGCCCGTACCCCCCACCCTTGCAGCCTTTGTAGATAGTTCCTGTAATTGGGAATGGCTGGGTGGACACCAATGGTTGGCAGCAAAGGGGGATAAATCCAACATCCCTTGAACGTGACATGAGCTGGGACCGCAGTCCCAGGTGGCTGCTTAGCGTCAATTCCTATGGTATTGGCCAACGGTACGTGCCTGCCAGCCACAGCTGCTGACCCTCCAAACACAATGGAGGTTTTAGCCAGAAAAGACAAGAGTTACACAGAAAAGCTGGGCTGTTACCAGTTCTGTGCAAGCGTTGGGTAGGTATTGAACTGTGCCACATCAGCGAGAGCTGGTGGCTTGCAGCGAAGTCGTGGTGGTTCGTCTCCTGGCACCCGCAGGCTGAAATGGCCACCCCAGAAGTGTGACCTTGAGGATGTGTCATTTAGGGGCTAAGGGAAAAACCACGATCCATCTTCACACTGCAGCTAAGGCTGAAACAAAGTGTATACTCAGTAATTCAGTTTTCAAGCATGGCCATTAACTTGGGGTGTCTTAAGACAAATTAGAAATCCTTTTTAAAAATGCAGTTCCACAGTTACAAAGTTGGAGTCCGCAAAGGCACATTTCACATATTGTGTGCAGGCAATTAGGATAAACCACAGGGTGACCTGCTTGTCCCAGGGAGTGTTAGAATTTACAGAATACAGTCAATTGGTCAGGCTTACAAACTCTGGGTAGACCTGAGTAACGCCTGGGTCAACGGAAATTCACAGGCAGGAAGGTGAGAGCTGGAAGAAAAATAAACTCTGTGCTGCAAGATAAAAGTAGACTGCAAAAAAATTGCAATGCTGGAAGACTTTTTCATTTCAGAGGTGGCTTAAGTCCCTGGGTACCAGGTTTTGATATGTATTTGTGGTATCTCCAGTATCAGTCCCAGTGGAGAACAGTTAAGCTCCTGTTTCAAACTTCAATCCTGCAGGGATCTGTAAACATTTATACCACTCTGCCATGTACAGCAGGTTCATGGCTGTCCCAGCAGCTCACTGAAAAATTGTCAGAAAAACAAGAGTGTACCCTAAACACCAGGTGTGAGTTACCCTCTTACACACTTTCATCCTCTGTTGATTGAGTAACCTCTTTCCATACCCTCTGTGAAGAACAGCTTCCTTGAGAGGAGGCAGTTTGAATGCCCTCCATTCCTCAGCCCAGAATATCTTGTTGCCTGATGGTTATGACATTCTCCTGCGAGATCAAAGGCAGGGATTCAAGCAACACAAATAGCAAATTAAAGTGAAATCAGGCTTTCTCCCTGCCTAGTTGCTGTTGCAGTGAGAGCAGGACATCAGCTACCTCGTAGCAGTTGCACCTACTTATTTTTGTTTTTCCTCCCCCAAGAGATGACTTCAGAGGATGATGCAGTGTGATACCTGTTCGGGGCTTGGAGTGAGATGTGACTGACCAAGGGAGATTAAGGCTACTGTGAATTCCTCTTGCAGGTCCCTCCAATAATCTCCGTGCCTACCTAACACTAGAAACACGAGTTAGTTATTGTGAATTAATTCCCTGAAGCAACTAGGTGCCTAAAGACTGTGATAGAGCTGGCCTAACCATTTTTTATTCAGTTGGTACTTTATGTCATACCACGTCCCTACCAGCGATCGATAGAAGGTATTTCAGAGGAATATATGTCCTGCCCTCATACCCCTACAGTGGGGGGTGATGATCCCTCACCTTGGGACTTTCTCCTTCTATGAGCTCTCTCTGCTGTTGACAAGGAGGTATTGCAGTTGCTCATATCACCTCTGTGCAGTCAGCACTGTTGTTTTTTTTTTAAAAAAACCACACAACTGAAAGTCATAACAATTAACATTGTGAAGATTAGAGTCTCTCCTTAGATGGTCTGATAGGCAACTGCTGTTGCAGCAACTATAATGCCAAGGCCACCAAGATGTCAGTGGGGAGAATATTGAGCTGCTGTGGTTGGCAAAAGCGTGTTGGCCTTCTGAAACTTTCCTCAATGGATGGAAAGACTTACAGGGACAGTGATGCATATCTATCTCAAAATCATGCTCAGATTAAAAACTTCCTGCAGAGCTAATGTCAACTCATGTTTCAGGTCACTGCCACAAGCTCAATCAGGTTAGAGATCAAAACCAGCAAACAGGTACAAGGGAGCTTGCAGCTATCAAGTGGGATAATCTGTAGCATGATTTTTTTTATGACTGTGCACCCATAATGGCATGTACAAGCAGGGAATGGTTGTGGTCTGGAATAAACTTGCTGGTTTGCCTGCTTCTGATGAAAATTTCACTTGTTTTTCAGTATCAAAACACGATGCAAAAATAACTGGTCAGATCCAGCCAAAGTCTCTTGAGTTATGTGGGGCATAAATTGGTCTCATATGCCTGAGAACTGAGTTAACATAAAAGCTACAAGTTATTCCTAAATTGTTTTCATTAGGAAACCCTGGGTAAAAAGGTACTTCTTAGGGTAATTCTTTCTGTTTTTATTGTTACACATACAATATGGTTTTTGAACACCATAAATTATATGTAAATTATAAAACCAGCTATGATTTAATATGCTCTGGGTTTTGCATCAGGTGACTCGTGCCACTGGTTCTTGAATTAACTAAGGAGCCATCATTCTTGGCAAACTCTTCAATTGCATAGGTGCACATAAGACAATAATTGAATATAAAGGTTTATTTTTTTCCCTTTATTGATGTCAAGGGAAGACAGTGCAGCTATGAAAATGGAATAAACTGCAAAGATTCTTTCAGTTCCTAGAGGTTGCTTAGAACAAATGACTTTCCATTCTAGTTTTTATGAATGTATAGTTTTCTGAAAGCTTTATAATACTTCAGGGAAAGGAAATGGCAGGCAATAAATGATGCAGGAAGGTTCAGGTTATTGGGAAACAGTGGAATGGGTTTCATCTGGAAAGGTGAGAATGCTAAGTGTATTTCACCTTAAATGTTTGAGAAGGGATCAGATGCAGTGATTTGTACCTTATTATGGGCATGGAAAAAGCATGAGACCCTTGTTCAAACATTGTGTGCAGGTGCAGTTGTGCAGCCTTCATACATCTTTTGTCTGCAGCCAGCAGGAAGGCAGAGGTGCCAGACCTTTGCTGTCCCTTCCATTGCATTGGCTGCAAAGAGGTGACCACAGAGCCCAGGGGTGGTGTGTCTCCCCTGGTCAGTGAAAACAGCAGATGTATTTTCATATCTCAGCTTGATTAACACAGCTGATTTTATGGAGCTGAGGTTTGTTAAACAGTTCTTGCAGTCTCAGAGAGCTCTACCAGTGACGACTGTTTGATAAACCCTGTGTATTTTCTTCTTTCCATCTAGAAAGCAAAAATATGGCGACAAAGGAAAAGCTTCAGTGCTTGAAAGACTTCCACAAGGACATCCTCAAACCTTCCCCCGGCAAGAGCCCGGGGACACGGCCCGAGGATGAGGCAGAAGGAAAGCCACCCCAGAGGGAGAAGTGGGCGAGCAAGATTGACTTTCTGCTGTCGGTGGCTGGAGGGTTTATTGGCTTGGGCAACGTCTGGCGGTTCCCGTATCTCTGCTACAAAAACGGCGGAGGTGAGTGCTCCTGCTGCAGTCTCAGGGCTGAATCTGCCTGCCTCACACTGCCTCTTCTCCAGGGCCTTCATCCAGCTTTTAAAAAGAGTAATCACACATCTGCTCTCTGCCTTCCTCACCACCCTTCAGGAGAGGTTGTACTAATTAATAGTTTTTGCTAAAACTTTGTTATGGGAACACAACAGCAATTTACAAGTAGAGGCTGCTGAAGTTTTTTTGCTATATTACTTCTGCAACTGAGCCTGAGTTTCAACCAGGAGACATGCTATTAATAGAGACCAGTAGGATTTCAGACCAGTGGATTTCAGAATAAGAGATTTCTGAGCCATGTGAAACTGTTGTGTGCCTAAACCCATTGTTGTTGCAGGCTTTCACTTTTAAAAGGTAAGAAAATGCCCTTTCCAGCTTCATACACTTGCAGAGTTTTAATATGAGCAAAAATGCCCCAGAATAAGTATATTATGTACTGACATTCAAATATGATTCTTTGTTTATATATGTCTGTTAACACTTTTTTAGCTGTCTTGTGTAAGGTCACTCTCTTCATCTTAATTTTGTACTGTTCTATTTTCTCATCAGGTGCATTTCTTATACCTTATTTCATTTTCCTGTTTGGGGGAGGTCTTCCCGTGTTTTTCCTGGAGGTGGTGCTAGGACAGTATACCTCTGAAGGTGGAATTACATGCTGGGAAAAGATCTGCCCTATTTTCACTGGTTAGTACATCTTGTTGTTCTTTACTGCTTAAAGACACCTCCATAAACCATATGCAGCAACACTATTCCCCTCATGTCCATTAATTCAGCTATTTGCTGTAGTAATTGAGGATATGATATTGGTTCCTGGAAAGGTAGAAGTCAGAGAGTCTGAAGGACAAAGTAAGGTATTGATTTTGATGCTATCATCTTGTTAACTGGCAGAACTGCTGATAAGCAGGAAAGCAATTGCATATTATGCCTTAAAAAGGCCATCACATATTTTGTTCACAGGTATCAGAGAATGTGTTGGTTTGGAAAGCTAGAGTCTTTTACTTGTCTTTATTGAGAGCTTCTTCAAAGTATTATTCTGGTCTGGAAAGCAAATTCCCCCTGCCAAATGAAAGCTTATTGGTGTTGTCCCTCAGTTACTAATACAAGCCAAAACCTGGAGAGCATTTTGTGGTAGGATTTAGGAGCAGGACTTTCATCATAACTGAGCAGGTCCTGGCAAATGGGCATGTTGGTCTGGTGTTATTCAAGCACCTTTGTCAGAGAATGAAGAATCACTCACCACTATAGAGTGAAAAATGAAGGACAGGTTAGAAAAATCACCAAAGATGCCTGTCTTATGTATGGATTTCCCTTTACAGCCGGACAGCACAGGCAGAATGATTTGGAATAATGACACTAAATAGAAGGGCACTCTTCAAATCCCATTTGAAAAGAGTGGGCACTTCATGCTGACATGACTCTAGCTCTGCTGCTGTTGCTGTTCCAGGCATCTCTCTCCCCTTATATCAACCCAGGCAGAAGTGAAGAGTGTGGCTCACACTCCTGCCTAATACTCAGAAAGCTGCTGAAATTGATGTAGCTGTGCTGCCTTAGCTACATTTTCTTCCTCCTCCTCCCATTTTTGTGAAGCCTTTTATTTTTTGAGGAGGAGGGAATGTTCCTTGTTTAAGTAGCAGGAGTCTCCTGGCATCCATTAAGAGAAATTGTAGCTCTAATAATGTGACTAGCTATATATCCTAAGTGAAAGGCAGCTGTACAGAATAAATAGCACTTGCTCCAGTTATTTTCACCTGGCATAAAAATAATCTCTGGTGTAAAGAATCCTGTTGCAATAAGTTTTGAAACTGTAAAATATGAGGCAGGTATCCGAGGTGCTGGGGTAACCATCAGAGTGATGTTAAAGGGAACCACACAGGCTTTTCATCCTCCTGTAAGAGAGTGCTCTAAACTTTTAAAGGAAATATATATTTTTTTTCCCTTTTATTCCTGAATGGCAAACTTTATGAGCTTTTTGGGAGTTAACATTCTATATACAAAAAGATTTTCAGAAAATGGGAATTTTTGAAGTCCTTTCATTTTGTATTTTAAACAATTGTGACTGCTTCTGACTTCAGACATGGTACGAATCTGCTGCTGAGCTGGGAGAAAGATACCAGACTCAGGAGGACAGTTGTGGTATTTCATCAAAGCCTGCACTGGAACAGCATGCAGCCACCTCCTGAAGTTGTGTAGGACTCACCCTTATCTGCCCATGACCCTGCTTATGAAAACAAACAGGGAACATTTTTTATCATCAAATATTGATAGCAGAGTTAAACATTGATCTAAGTAACCGTAACAGCTACAAATCCCATGCTTCCTTTGCACAAGTGAAATTGGGGCAGAAGCAGCAGCTTTCACATTGACAGCTTTGGTGTTTTTGTTTTTAACTCATTCAAGAACTGTCTTTTTTTGTTGTTCTTTTTTTGCACATAGGCTGAGCTGAGCCAGTCGATAAGTGTGAGTGGTGCAGGGGCTGCCAAGCTGAGCTGCCTCCAAGGAAGCTGGCTTAGGGAACAATGTGGTGAGAATGATGCTGCCCAAGTAGGTACCTAAGATGTGAGATGGTGTAGCTCCCAAAGAAGCAAAGCGTGATGCCTTGACTTCCTTTTAATAAAACTTAAAGTAGCCAGGTTAGCGTTAACTTGGGTAGACATCCTGCAGAGCTCCCCTCCAGTGTCAGCAAACCACAGCCAAAAACTCAGCCCTGAGGGCTACTGCTAGTCAGAGGTGGTGGCAGGTCTGTGTGATCAAGTTGAGTTGAGTTGAGCTTCCCACAGTGTGGTAGAGCAGGATACAAGTCCGCAAGGCAGAGGGAACAGCACTAGCTCCACGAGAGCACAAGGCATCCTCGCAAGAAGCGGCTGTCACGTCTGTGTGCATTTCTTTTCTCTCCTCCTCTCGCCAGGAATTGGTTATGCTTCCATAGTGATTGTGTCCCTTCTGAATGTGTACTACATTGTGATCCTGGCCTGGGGACTCTACTACCTGTTCCAGTCGTTCCAGAGCGTCCTGCCATGGGCACACTGCCACCAGAAGTGGAACACGCCGACCTGCGTGGAAGACACTCTCAGGAAGAACAAAACCCTCTGGATATCACTGAATGCCACTAACTTCACCTCTCCTGTCACAGAGTTTTGGGAGTAAGTATCCCTTCTTTTTGGTGTCACCAGGGTGACATGCAGGAGGCATGCAGGAGTGGCATGCAGGAGGTCAGACCTGAGATTTTATGGAAGCCCCTTGGGGAATGTTAAAAAGGAAAAGAAAACCGGGTGTCAGTTGTTTGACTGGTGTTCGCTACTGGTTGTCATCCATCCTGACACAGCCTGGCAGTGGGGGAAGGTGTCAGATGGGTAACTGCAGTCATCTTAGAGCTTACAGGGAGCCCTAAAAACCCAGTGTAACTTCTGTATTGGAAGAATATTTGTTTTCTTCTTGGTTGGGATTCCCTAAATGCAGCATGAGAACAGAAAGAAGTCACTTCAGATGCCCTGATAGCATGGATGTGGAATGGAAACAGTGGCAAATCATTGTGGTTGCCTCGGCCTCTTCCCCAGCCATCAGCTCTTGCAGTGCATTTTGTGAAGCTGTTACATATCTCTTATTAGGCTGACAATACAAGGCATTGGCCTCACTGACAGAGGTGGTCTAGGGAAAGGTGTTCCTGCCCATGTAGGGGGTGGGAACTAGATGATCTTTAAGGTCCCTTCCAACCCTAGCCATTCTATGATTCTATGATTTTCTGAGTTTTAAATTACATCCCATAAGCTGATTTCTGAATGGGTACGGCCTCAAATCTCTGTGTTTATATAGGCACCAAAACATAGCAGCAGACATCTGTAGGGAAGCCTAAATCCAAAGGATCTACAAATAGCTTATGAAGAATTTTCTTTTCCTTGGCTTGCTCAAATGGCAATTAAGAGTAGAATTAGTTTCTGATCCAGCTTGGCTTTTTCAGCATGTTTAAAGTCCAGTTTGGTCCCTGATCAACTTGTACCTACTTCTCTATTTTTAAAAAAGAAGTGTCAGA